ACATAGATGGAAATCAGGTTCAACAGGGGGCTGGGATGCAGGAAAGATGGGAAGAAGGTTGAAGAAAGATCTGTGGCTGTAACTTTGTGACAGTATTTCTCAAACATAAGCATAAGCCCGATTTTCTGACAGTCAGTACCACAGGGAACTCTGGCTTTAAGCATGTCTTCATTCTGCCCAGCTTCAGAGGGACAGTCTGAGAAAGCTAGCCCAAAGTGAAAGGCTGCAATGGAAATGCTGAAAACCCCTTCCCCACTTTTGTGGGAAATGACAGGGGAGAATGACCTAATTGGAGAAATGCCTGACATGTGCTATGTCCCAAAACCGTGTCTCATAACACAAACATAGGTATGAAGGAAGAACCTCAAAAATACTAAAATGAAGCAGAATGAATGAGAACAGTCTGCAGTCACTGTGCTGAGGGACCCAGTCTCTGTGTTCTTTGGACTAAATTACCCTCCCAGTGACAGCCTCACTTGGTAGGGTGAGGTGAAGTGACTTGTGCAGGGTCAAGGAAGGAAAGTGGGACAAACTGAAGAAAATTCAGTCTGCTTCCCTGGCCCTGATCTTTAGACCAGCATCCCCGGCTCTGCTGACAGCAGATTTGTTTCTCCGCTTTGATGCGAGGTATCAGCACAAAATTTCCAGTGTTTTTTCTTCCTTTGACCAGTTTCGGCCACCCTGGAGCAGTGTGTATGTGCACGCATATGTCTCTGCCTTGAGCTGTTCAGGGCTGTTGCTGGTCCTGCGAGGCCACCATCTGCCTCCAGTTCTGTTCATCTTGACATCTTCATTGCAAGAAAGCCAGCTGTGAGGAGAGGCCAGTGCCAGCCAGGCCCAGGATGCCAACCTGGCAGCAAAGAGCCCTGGCCAGCCAGCTGGTGCTGTGCAGGGCTCAGGAGCTGTGGCCTGCAGGAGCCAGCCCCCCATCCCCTCAGATGGTAGGCTGTGAATGGGAGGGTAGGGGGGCTAGTAAGAAATCAAAGGGAAATGTCCTACTGATTGATGGCCCTCATTTGCACATGAAACTGGGACCTCAGCCCTGCAGGCCCTGCACGTGTGTCTCAGCTGCTGTAACCAGGGCTGGGAGAGGAGGAGGTAAATAAGGAGGGAAAAAATAATTTCCAGCTCTGGACACTAACTTTGGATCTAAGTGTCCGAGATCTGAATCTTTGCAGTTCCTAAAAGTTGGTTACTTAATTTTTCGTTCCTTTTATTTTTTTTTTTAATTGCAGGTGAGGCAGAGCACCCAGGATGATGGCAACTTCTTCCATCTTCTTCTCTCCTTTCCTTTTTCTGTGTGTGCTGGTTCTTTCTGACATCAGTCTTGCAGTCTCCCTGGACCCTGGCACAAAGCTCAAAAGGGTCCCAGAGAATAATAACCATCTTCAAAACCAAGAGATGTGGCTGCAGCAGCCCAGAAGTGGACACCACCACAAGCATGGCTTGGCCAAGAAGGAGAGGGTCCATGCCATGCCTTCTAGAGGGCAGCCTGCTGGGGAAGAGGCCCTCAGAATGGGCAGTGGAGCTCCAGCTGTGGAAGAGTTGGCAGCAGAGGGACAGCCAGCAGCCCTGAAACAGAATAAGGATGTGTTCCTGGGGTTTGAGCTCCCACATCCTGAGAGGGAGAACCAGTCCCCTGGGTCTGAGAGAGGGAAGAAGCAGAACCGAGAGCATCGGCGACACAACCGCAGGGACAGGCTGAAACACCACAGAGGTATTTGAGCTCCAAGGGAAGCTGAAGCTGTTGGGTCACTTGAAATGGGTGTCACTTGTGTGAGGGCAAGAAGATGCAGCTGTGGTTGAGCCACATGGGTGTGTGGAGGGTGTGGGATGTGTGCCTGCTCTAGGGAGAAATTGGCCAAACAAAAGAGGCACAAGAAAAAAGGGGACCTTCAGAACCAGAGATATTTCATTTTTTTTTTACTGCTGGCTGCAGTTTTGTGAACATGACCTGTTTTGCCTTAAAGAGGGAGCTCTGAAAGTTCCTAGGACTTGAGGGGTTGTTTTGGGGTGGCCTGCTTTGTTTTTTTGCATTCTTAGCAAATGGTTCCATTTATGAACAAACATGTCCAAGCCATGCCCAATCTCTCCACTGACTTCAAAACATGACCAAAACTAGAAATAATGCAAAACCCCAAGTTTCTTCTCATGAGAGCTTGTATCCTTCTGTATTTGTGCTGAACTACAAAAAATACAAATTTTGCACATATGAAATTGCATCAATTACTTTAAAATGTTGCTTGTTTTTGACTGGGACTGCTGTCCTTTGCAGGTCAAGTTGTGGGTGTGTGTCTCTGTGGTATGGTATGCTCAGTGTGGTAGATCTTTAGTTCTATTAAAGTCAGAGAATTTGTGTCAATCTAAACTATTTGACGTGCTGGGTGTCAGTATCCCTGAGCTCCAGCTATCACTCCTCCCTGCCTCAGTAATAAAAGCTCTATTGTTTTCTCAGGGGACTAACTAAACAACTCACATTAAGCAATATAGAGGAGTATGCAACAAAGCTGGTTTGAAGCAGTATTTGCAGGCTACAAAAAAGGCCTTGTTTCTTTGGTTTAACTTACGGTCTTAAATATCTTAAATTGATACATAGGAAAAGCAGGCATCAAGCTGCTAAGATATTCTTATTTCAAGTTAGGTTAAGTCCTGAAAAAAAAAAAAGAATGTGTTCCAGGTATTTTCAGCAGCTTAAGCCATTGGTTTAAAAATGGTTAAGCAGGTACATTTTGTACTCTTGAGACCAGAAGAATAAATCCTTTGCTTCTTAAGCAAGAGATAGACATATCTTCAAGAAGGTGTGATTATGTATGACTAAAATCAAGATGTATATACTCTAGGTCTGATCTATCACTTTAATTTAATAGCATGTGGCCATGTTTTACACTGGTCTAAAAAGCAGCTCAGGGTGGTAGAACACTGACTAGTGGATGGGTGAAATCTGAATTCCTTTGACTCACATCTATGGCACACAGAGAGAAAAGGGATAAGAAAGCTAATGCTACTGTACCTGTTGCCCTCTGCAGGGAAGAATCCTGATGCTGGGCCAAGCTCCCTGTACAAGAAACCTGAAAGCTTTGAAGAACAGTTTCAAAACCTCCAGGCAGAGGAAGCTACAAGTCTGACTCCCACCATGCTTCTCATCACTGCACTGGAACTGGCTGTTTCCACAGAAGAGCCTCCTGTTCTTCCAGCCACATCACCACGGTCACAGGTAAAGAGACCGCTGGTAACTGCACTGGACCTCTGATGCAGACAGAAGTCTCCTGTAGATAAGGTCCAGTTTCCTTTTTATTTTCCAATTAGAGGTTAAGTGCTTGCTTAACATCAAAGGCCCCCTTCAAAAGCAGCTGTCTCTTTTGGGGACATCTAAACACCTCTTTCATAAAATCTTCATTTAGTTTCTTCTCTTTCCTGCTCTACTTATTCCTTAGCTAGCCATGTTCATTCAGCTTCAAGGACCAGGGAGGCATCAGGAGCACTTGGCTGGAGAGGCAGCACGTCCTAATGTTCCTTGCTTGCCTTCTATCCTGACAGTGGAAACTTCCCTCTTGGCTTCAGCTGCAACAAGGGAACACTCTTCCCTTTTGAAAATGAGGTGCCAAGAATCCTCAGTGGACAAGGCAGGGGTGGAAATCATAAAGACTTTCTAAGGTCTAAAAGCACCAGGAAAATCTGTGAATGCTTCAGTGTCACTACAGAAGTGTAATCCATTGTCTCTTTGGTTTCTTGTGGTTTGCAGGCCCGGCTCAGGCAAGATGGGGATGTGATGCCCACCCTAGATATGGCACTCTTTGACTGGACAGATTATGAGGATCTCAAACCAGAAATGTGGCCATCTGCTAAAAAGAAAGGTGCTAAACCTCCCTGTCTTCTTTCCCAAAAGTTGTTCTGTAAGGCTTGTCCCATGGTTAGTGTTCACAGATGTGCTGACAGACGTGAGATCATAGTGGTGGAGAAGGAAAGAAAAGCATAATGCTGATTGTGTTTTGTGTTCAGTTTCAAAATGTTTCTCATTTTGGATGCATAGTTTGAGGGCAGAGGGAAAATAATAGATGGAGAGATGAGAAACAGGGAGGAGACTATGAAGGTTTAGAGTTCAAACTCTTGAAGTTTGAGGCTGTTTATACCCTGGAACAATACAGTCTCCAAAACAAAAACACTAGCATGAATTTTTCTATCAGCACTTGTTTGGTTTTGTTTTGTTGTTTTTTTTCATAGAAAAACGCCGCAGTAAGAGCCCAAATAGTGGAAATGAAACTGTGACAGCTGAAGGAGAGCCATGTGATCATCACCTTGACTGCCTCCCAGGTCAGGATCAGATTGGTAGAGTCATTTCTCCTAACTTAAGATTGTTTGCAATCCAGCCCACATTCTAATACAAGTACCCTGATTTCGAATACTGATAGAAAGTGGCATGCAGAGGGAAGGGCAGAGGCTTTCTAGGTGTGTTGTGGAAACAGATAATGCCTGTGCCATGGAGCTGTCATGAGTGTCAGTAGCCCTACAAGGAAGGGGATAAATGAGCTGTACTGACCCTTGTTCCTGTGTTGCAGGCTCTTGCTGTGACTTGCGTGAACACCTCTGCAAACCACACAATCGAGGCCTTAACAACAAATGTTATGATGACTGTATGTGCACTGAAGGTGAGTTCAGCTCTTTGCTCTCCCCCTTCCAGCTGGCTTTGTAGTTGTGTAAGTTGACTTGGAATAGTAGTTTGTATGTGAAAATAGAAGCCCAGCTCTGCTGCTCTTAGCCTTTCCCTGACACTGACTTAAAATGTGACCATTGAGTCACTGAGGGTTTTCCCCTCTTGAAAACAAAATTCCTGGTATCTACAAACCTAACAGAAGAAGCCACAATATATGAACCTTTCAGTGGTGCTTCCAAGTATCACAGGCTATAAAAACAGACTACTATCCTTGTTTTACATGACCTTATGCCTAAAACAGATTTCCTGAGTTAATTTCAACTGAACTTGTAGCAATTAGTAGGTGTGGGCAGGATACAGGCTTTTGTTTGTTAAAACTATTTCTGAAGAATCTGCAGCAGCCCTTAACAGACAGTTGCATTATGAAGATGTTGAAAGGCACTTTTCTAGTCTGAACATGTTCAGGACCAGCTCCAGGCACTGGGTCTTGTCTGTCAGAATGAAACTCCGGTTTTGTGACCTGTTTTAGGTACCTAGTGACTTTGACCAGGTCATTCACCTACTTTTTACCCAGTTTTCCTGGAGTTTCAATGTTAAATGATAGTCTTTACCTTGGATGTGTTGTGTAACACTTGAAGGTCCTCATCAGAGGTGATGTTCTGACAGATTAACCTCAAAAAGCGTTTCTGAAAGCCTAACGAGGGCTGCCCCCAGCCCTCCTTCATACTTAAGCTAGTTATAAGTTGATGCCATCCTCTGTAGCATTAAGATCCCCAGAGATGCAGGGTCCAGATAAGATAGACAAGAAACTTAGATAAGAGCAGAGCTCAGATCTTGTGTGCTTTCCTTCTGGGAGGCCAAACTGTCCTGGAGGGATTGGTAATGAGTGGCAGAAACCCAACTTCAAGGTAGCCAGTCTCAACATAGCCCAGGGACATGCACTCCAAAAGGCTGCTCAGTGACCTTTGACATTGGCTGGGTCTCCTGTGCACAAGTCCTCAAGGACAGTTTATAGGCTGTCTCATTATAACAGCTATAAATCCTCAGCTTTCCCCACTCTGGAGTTGGTGGCACTATTGCTATCTGCTGCCTGCTCTGGAAGTAAAAAGAGTTGCAGTTTCTAGGATGGTCAAATCAGATCCTGCCAGTCCCAATGACCACTGAAAATCAGGGTTTTCATGAGAATTACTTACACACAGGCTGTACCCTGTCTGGCCCAACTAGCTACATATTCTGGTTTAACAAAATCAGACAATAGACACAAAAAGATACATCAATCGGTGCCAGAAACTGAGGAGCTAGAAGCTCCCATTGCCTTCCACTGCCATGGGAGAGCATGTACTGATGTTTTTTACAAATAAAATACCTTTTTTCTTCCCCTTAGTATTCATCAGTGCTATATCAGATAGCTTTCTTCTGAACCTGCACTTTGAGCATCCAAAACAAAGGAACTGAAGGATATGAGCAGTGAGCTTTGGATCAGATCTCCCAGTAATAACACTTCAAAGTCTCTTCCCTCCTCTGCTGAAGCTTCAAGGAAATAAATAGCAAGGGGAGCTCCCTAGCCATTGCTGCTGCACGTTAAGTCTCTAGTAATTTCGCAATGGGGAGATCACTTAGACAGTAACGGGAAATAATAGGGGGAAACCAAGCAGGGCTTCCATAAAATCACTGGAAACAATCAGGATAATTCACTGGTATTTCAAGAAGCCAGTGAAACATTCTGCCAGAGTCAATGAATCCCAAACCAGAGCAGCGAGCCGAACAGAATAGCAGGGCCCAGAAAGGAATATGCCCTGCCCATGTAAGGCATTTCTCTGCCACCTCATTTGACACAGCCCAGGCTTCCCAACCCTGGAACTGTCCTCACTGCAGCAGGCTCTGTCATGAACTGAGGCTGAGCACTAATTGTTTGATGTTACTGCTGTAGTGAGCCCTGGTCCCTCCCGCTCACTTATGCATGTCTTTTCCATAGGGCTACGCTGTTATGCCAAATTCCACCGGAACCGAAGAGTGACCCGGAGGAAAGGGCGCTGCGTGGAGCCTGAATCAGCCAACGGAGAACAGGGATCATTCATTAATGTTTAGGAGGGTGAGACTCCTGCCTGGATAGTCAGGAGCAGGGATCAAACTGTTTATAACTAGCAATGGGAATTAGACGAGAAAGTCAAGCAAATGACTGAAGCTGCAGGCTCTAAATATGCCAGGGGTTCCAACCAGACTGAAGCTCATGTTAATTATAGAGAGGCTTCAACTTTTTCTGTACCAGGACTACATTCCCCCTCCCTTCCCTCAGCACATACCTGCCATTGAGCTGAGTCTCCTCCTCCCAATTAGTAAGAGGTGATCATCACTACTGTTCTGATGGTCCTGGTGGGAAAAGGCTCTGCAGTTCCATCTCCTCTCTTAACAGAGGCAAGATATGAAAAATCCTTCAGGTCAATGGGGAAATGAGCTTAAACTTTGGCCCTTAACTAATGCTTGAGAAGAAAGGTAGATCTTCCTTAAGGTTCAGAGGTTTCTAGAGGATAGGAAGCTTGTAGCCTCCAGGTGGAATCAAAGATGGGAAAGCAGTCAGCAGAAAGCTGGCTGCCTAGTTTAGAGGGGGCCCTCTGACAGAGCTCTTGCTCTCTCCTGCATTCACTGCTACAGACAGGTATTTCCTGGCTGTTGCACACTACCACTTCCTACCTGTCGTCTTTGGGACCATCCAGTCCCACTCCTTCCTTCCTTTCTTTCTTCCAGACAACTACCTGGTTTCTTCAAGGAAGTGACAAGACATCGTAGCCTGCAGCTCTCACTCATTTAGTTATCCTGCCAAGTCTGTTATTTTTAATGATTATTTTTAGGAGCTTTCTGGGAAAGTGATAGTTTTCCTAGTGAGCCAAAAATAAAGTTTTTGGTGACAGGAGTTAGGGACAGGCTGTTCCGCTGTAGTAAATCCTGTGACATGTTGCATGTGTGTTTCCATGATCTGTAAATAAAGCTATGATAGATATCCTTTGTGCAACACTGCTGCTTCTTTGACTGCACCTAAGGATGTGGCAGGGGCCAGAAAAGCTTATAAAGGAGCTGGCCAGCAGGTAGCACTGATGACTTCAGGTAATCATACAGACAATTGTGGCACTTGGTAGAAAAATTTCTCTACCCGAACTGGGGATCCAAGCTTCCATGCTAAGTATTGTCACTTAAATTGCAGCTAATGGACAGTTTCTGCCTGGTGTTGCCATCCAGATGTTTACAATGTCTTTATATTAGTTACTGGCCTCAGTAATATATTGGAGCAACAGGCTACCTGTGGTAAACAGGAATAGTGTCTGTTTTGTACTGCTAACACTTCAATACCCTGGCTTCTGGTGGAAGATGGCTTGGAAGCCTTTTATATTCAAAAGCATGGAGATGTACAGTACTTGTTGTAGAAATAGAATTATTAATCCTGGTGCTGTTGTCAGAATCCTTTATGCTACTTCCCTAAACCCCTCGTGTTCCATGTAGGTAGGCAAATCTCCATTTTGCACTCCTGTTTCTGTTGTAGTGTCACTCTGCATTGTGTATTTACTTGGATGCTGATAGCATAATAGTTTATGCCTATAATACAATGAATGCCCAGTCATGACTACAGATACATGCTATGAATACAATATTAGTTTGGACCTGCATACACCTGCATGCTAAAAGAGGTACAGTAAAGGAGGAATTTGTAAAGGAGCATTTAGGCAAATCCTTCCACTTGGTTGGATGTAGCTATTTAGATTTCTACTTACAGCATTACAGTCTTAGCACAAAAGGCAGAAGTAAAGAAAGGTGGTTTGGCTCCAGCTCTGTGACACAGCAGCAAGGATACAATTTGTTAACCCAGAGAGAGAAATGCAGCCCTTCCTTCAGCCCAGATGCAGAATAGTGGGTGGTGCTGCCAGTGCTATTGTCAGTGGGAACATAAAGGGAAAAGGGCTTTAATTGGTCACAGTCAATTGCAGAGCTCTCAGACTCTGGTCTGTGTGGCACCGATGAGAACCACATGCACAGCCATTATCAAAGCCGGTTTTTGACACCACACTGCTCTCTAATGTAGGAGCTGAGATCTGGTTGGAGCAGTGAAATTGAAAAAAATCAGGAGATTTTGCAGGGGTCTGTATCCTTGGTGATGCAAGTATTCATTGCCCCACACACTACATACAGAATCCTTGTAGGATCCTGGGTAATGTTTTAGGCAAGACCGTGCTGCAAATCATGTGAAATATGTGCAGTTTTAACCAGTAAGTCTTAATTTTAAGCAAGAACTTTTAGACTCCAAAAGGAGATGTGCTTCTTCAGCTCTTGCTTTTTCAGCTTTTGGTCTGCTATTAACTCTGAATATAAAGAACAGATTATTCTTAATTGGTGGGATTAGTTAAATGTCTAAGTTCAATGAAAATTGAGCTAATTGTTATAAATCAAGTCCCAGGGTTGTTGGATTGATTGCTCACATGGGAGTTTCAGGAATGGAGCCCATGACACAGATTCTTTCTGAATCAAGCTGTGATGTTGCAGAGGTGAAGCAGAAAGGGTGAGCAGTGGCACAGGCACAGCTGTGTGAAAAGAATCAGACAACTAGATTTATGCATCAGCCGCATCAACCACTGACCACAATTGCAGTGCAAAGGAAAGCTGCTGAGTAAATAACATGCCAAGGTGTGGCGTGCAAGACCAGCCTGTTACATGAAACCCCAAGGCAACATTTGTATAAGTCCAACCCGCTTCTGAGCGTAGCAAAGCTTTTTAGTGCCACTCTGTGCTGTGTCAGGAGCATGACAGCAGCTGCAGAGCGACAGTATCTCTAGATCACATTTCACAACTTTCCCCTTCCTTCCCAGTATCTCCCATTCACAGTCAGTGACAATTCTGCCTTTGGGAGCACTATGTCTGAACAAGAGAGAGGGAGACAAATCTCAAGTGAGTCTTGATTTATATGTTGTTCTCAACTGGTAGTTTGAGAAACTCAAATTAAGAACTCACACAAGCTCAGCTTCTCTACTGCCCGCAGGGAGCTTAAGCCAGAGCTCTTGCAAGATTTTCTATTGTCTTGAAAGGACTTTGGATCAGGCTCAATCCAGCCATAGCAGGGCTCTGCGTGGAATAATTTTTGAAGTTAATTGCAGGGCATGCATGCAAGAAAGGTGAGTGACAGAGTCCCACCCAAACTCCTGCTCTACATCTACTGCTGTTAGCAGCCTCACAATGAGTCCAAGGGGTATGCATAATTTTAAAACACTTCTCCAAGGGTGAGAATCATTAGACATGGAAAAGAGAGGACAGCGTGCTGATTTAACATAATCATCTCAGCAGCTGCCTGCTCTGCAAATGCTGTTGAATCTCTGGGATGTTGCTGGCAGTTGCCAAAATGATGACTGCAAGGGAGACAAGGAGTGGAAGCACAAATTAAAACACTTGGGAATCATTCTGTCTCAGGTCTGTAATAGCCTGCATTCATTTTAGCTTAGGGGTGTTTTATTGAAACCCTCTCTCCTCCCTCCCTACCCCCCAGTAATTACCCTGTTGTCAATCCACAGTGTGTGAAAGTGCTTCAATTTCAAACCCATGCTATACCAAATTGTTCAAGTCCATGCCAGTCACTCTCTGCTACACAATGCCTGTGAAACACATTGCTTTCACACTTTTTTTTATCAGCAAAATGAGGGTTGTTGTTTTCTTGGAATGTTCTCAGTGATCATATGTGCCCCATAAACCCATTTCTTGTATGTCAGTTTGTTGTCTAGAGTGCCAGTGAATCTTGAAGAGCAGTCCCTCAAGCTCTAGTTAGATTTTAGAAAAACAGAGGAGCAGCTCTTCCTCGCTGAGACTGGAAAAGACTTTCAAGTGCGCTTGTCAAGATACCACATCGGTATAACGCTCTCCACTCCTTAAATCATCTTGCCATAGAATGTTTTGCAGTGAAGTTGCAGGAGGTGGGTCCCCACCAGCATTACAAAATGCCTTCAGTTTCCCTGCCAATCCAAATACTGTTTCTGATTGCTGATTTCCCACTGGGATTTAAAAGGGAGTTGTAGAATCAGAACAACTTCTATATGCCCTTCCTCACTGCTTGTTCAGAAAGGCTCTACAGATAATATATGCATCTGTGCTGAGCTGATGCCTTCATTGCTCTCAGCTCCACAGCCAGGGGTACAACTCAAAGACACTGGTGCCAGCTGCAGGTTTTAGTTACCTTCAGACTAGACCCCAAGTGAGAGACGCAAAGGGCAGAACTATGAGCGGTGAGTTCGTCTCCATCCCCAGATAAGGACAGCAGAAGCAATTGTATTAGCTCCTCTGCTTCCTCATAGAATTGCTATCACCTTCCCCACCAAGGGTATGGTGTCCTGAAAACACAAAGAAAAGCATTTCTGCCTAGTTAGCCTCACTTCTATGCTGCTAGGAAGGGAGCCAGCTGCATGTTATGTTTTTACTCAGTCTGTGCAAAATATATCACCAATACATTTGACTTAAAGCAGGTCATTGCTGGATATTAGTTGCAGTGAGCTGAACTCACCTAGACCAGTCTTCTCGTCAGGAAAATCTCCATATGCTGTTTCTAGTCTCCTTGGTTGTCTGCTTCTCCCTGCAGGTTTTCTTTAACTTGCTGTTTATCTTTCTCACCATGTTTATGTTGCTTTGAGTTACCAAGCCTAGGGAAGGGAAAGGAGACAGCAGGCTACACAAAGAGGCAATTTACAAGGTACAAGCAAAGCAGAGATAAAAAACAACCAACCCCCCAGATCAGATAGGTGTGAGAGATGTGCAAATGCATAATGTCTGTCGTAGCTCTCATTGTTTTAATATCTATGAGATCATTAAGACATTTCTAAGTCCCTTGAGTCTATGACATGCAAGCCCAGGATATAACAAGCAGGGCTGAATTAATTGCATGATACACTGATGAACAAAATGAAGTAAAGCGCTTTTATTGTACAAGGGGAAACGAATGCTTTGCATTAAACAGCAGTCACATCAATCCAAATTATGGCTTATGCTGCATAAACTATAATGAGACTCTGTCTCACTCAGACTGAGTAAGAATGCTGAAAGGAGCAAAGACGCCCACATACTGC